TATAATTAATAAAATGCTTTAATGGTTACCGTTATTAATTGAGGCGGTGAAAACCTGCACCAATTAATATTAGACATATTCGAAAAATTTTTTATGTATTTCTTAGAAATTGCATCTCTTCAGTGAAAATCAGGATCCTGTACATTAGCCTATGCTCGTGTCGAAATTTTAATATTTAAATCATTAAGTGGATTATTTACAAAAGTCATTTTAGATTATCAAATTATAAAAAAAATTAAATTTTAATAATAATCAATATTATATACAATTATATATATAGTTAAATATATAATACATTATATATTATATATTAATATTTTATACATTGCGATGTTTAATGCCCCGTTTTTCAATGCTTTTTAGATTAGCCCAGGTTAATTATCGCAATTTGTTATTTTTTAAGTTTCCTAATGTAGCCCGAGAGAACCCTGTACCCTAAAAAATTTTTATAGTGGAACAGGTTATTGACAATACAATTGTCTGAGAGATTGAGACGAAAAGTTTATTTTTACCATTTACTTATAACAATAACAATGTCAAACTGCATGTCTCGGTAGGCCCAGTCTAATAAATTAGACGATAATCTAATGGGTTTTATGCATATTCATTAAATCCTTCTTGCAGTATGGACCCTCGAAAAATCAAAACAGTCATCCTAATAATTCGTTAGACCAATCAAAGATATTAAATAAGGGGTTAAACCCGAATTTAGGGGCTCTATTCAGGGCCCAATTGGTAAAAATCCGCCCATACGTAGGTTTTTTAAAATAAGACCGAATCTATCACACGATTTTAATAAAAACTGCGGTAATAATGTGAAATTGTTTCTGCCATTGTTTATTAATTCATAAAGAATTTACTAGAAATAAAATATTAATTTATTTGTAAATGTTGGAATATTTGTTCTATTAAACATTCACTGCATAAGAATTTTCGATTCTGATTGTTTTAAGTAGCACAATCTTCTCATGCTAAATGCAACCTGAAGATTATGATGAATAATATTAATTGTACGATCATGCACAGCCTTTGATATTAAAACAATGACAATCTTTGATATAAAAGCAATACCTGTCCGTTGATTAATGTTAGTTAATTCATGGCATCCACAGAGAAAGTGTACATTTTTATTGATAATTCCAATAATTGGATTCAAGGGAAATTTGCTGTTGGCAAACTTGAACGGTTGGGATTGGGAAGTCATATTAATAAGAGAGATTCTTATTACTTTGACCACTTACGCATTGAATATGGTTGTCTCATCGAAAAGATTCAGGGTAAACGTATATTAGGAGATAAACCGTTTATAGTTGGCTCCCGTCCGCCAATAAACGACTCAATGTGGAAACGGTTTGAAGAACAGGGATGTGAGATAAAAGTATTTGATAGGAATGTTGAAAACCGTGAAAAGAAGGTTGATCAGGCACTTTCTCGTGCTGCGTACAAAAAAATCCATTTTAAAGAACCTGCTATTTTGGCATTAGTGGCTGGTGATGGTGATTATCATCCTATGATAGAAGAAGCTCTAGAATATGGTTGATTGGTTGAAATCTGGTTTTGGTCTTTAGGTATGAACGAATGGTTTATTACCACCTTGGTATTTGTATGAATTATTCAAACTGTTGAGCTATTTCTAGGAATGTCTCGTGAACTTAAAAGTGATGCCTTTTATATGCCTCTTGACGATTGTTATAAATATATCGCATACGGTGATGGTTTATGTTCTGTAGATGAAGTACTAACTCTTGAAGTTACTGGTGACTCCCTCATAAATTGGACTGATAAAATGATGTTGGATAAATTTTCCTCCTTAAATATATTTTATTGGAGAAAGTGGTTA